GAAGTTGTTACATTTCCATTCAACCATTGTGAAATCGGATAAAGTTTAAACTGTTTGTTTTGCCTTTGTTGTGAAATTTGTAAATTTTGTGGCTGCTGTTGTTGTTGTGGATGCTGTTGTGGATGCTGTTGTGGATGCTGCTGCTGTTGTTGTTGCTGCTGCTGATTTTTTGATAAATTTTGTTGAAATGGCGATTTTGACTGATGTTGTTGAAATAATAATTGTAGATAGTACTTTTGCTGAAAATTTGACTGCTTATTTTTGAAGTCAGCTTTCTTGATTTCAACAATCTTCTCCGTTGATGGTTTTTCAACAGCCAACGTCTTTGCTGCTGTTGTAGTTGCGGCCGCTGCTGCTGCTGCTGATGATGATAATGAAGATGTTGCAGTCGACGTTGTTGTTGTTGTAGATGTAGCAGGCGATTTTGTTGTTGATGTTGTAGTAGTTGTTGATGTTGCCGAAGTTGTTGCTGTTGTTGATAATATAGATACTGATAATGGTGAATTTGATTTTGGTGGAAACCACGACCAGCCGGCCGACCACCGCCGCCACCAACGACACCACCAGTAGTAGTAGCGGCAGCAGCAACGGCAAAATCGTTTGGACAACTTGTCAGGAAAAAACAGTAAATACAGAAGATGTAGTTGGCCAGAAAAGTAGTGGTAGTAAGAAAAAAAATGGCTGGGGTAGCGGTGGCTACTGCAGAATGCGACGCCAGTCTGATCGAATGAGTTATCATGCACCGCATCCATGAAATTAAACTGGCCAATTTTGCTTCTTTAGGTGCGATTTTGGCGTCTGTGTGAGGTTGTATTTATTTGTTTGTTTGTTTGTCTGTATGTGTGTTTGTATATTTGTTTGTTTGTTTGTATGTTTGTATATTTGTTTGTTTGTATGTTTGTTTGTATATTTGTTTGTTTATTTGTTTGTTATGTTTGTTTGTTTTATTGGATGTATATGTGTATGTTTGAGAGTGCATCTGTATGTCGGGATGTTTTTGAGTAAAATATTTGTGAGTGTGTATATGTGTGCGTGCGTGTATGTGTGTGTGCGTGTGTATGTGTGTTTGCGTGTATGTTTTGTATGTGCCTGTGTTTGCGTGTTTGTGTGTGTATTGGTAGTGCAACTCTTTGGTACTGTCTC